ATAGTGAGGTTAATCTCACTTAACCACACCAATCAACCAACATCATATATTAGTCCAACACTCAAAACCATAATCATTTCACTAATTACTAATTTACCCCTAATTGGAAACTAGTTTTCCTGGATTGAAATTCAAGATGTTACAAAGAAGGGAGAGAAAAATCTGACCAAGTTAAGGACAAGGTAATTTCACATAAAGACTGAAAAGTGAGAAAGAAAAGAAAAAAATAGTCCCACTCTTGCTTCCAAAGAGATCGAACCTAGAACCTTAGATTTGAAGTCAATGACACTTAATGAACATTTGGCTTCCATTATGAATTGGGGAGTTTTACACCATTTTTTATGATTCATGGACAAAATTGCATCATACTTGAGTTAAGGATGACATTATCACCTTACAAAAATCCTTATGGGTAAATTTTCACTTTAACCCTTCTAAATTCCATCAAAGTTGAGATCCACATACTATATTATAAGTTGTTAAGTCTTATTTATTATGTTATTTCAATTTATCTTTAAAATATATCGATGACTAACTTCTTATCTATTTTGTTTTAATTATGAAGATTTAATTTCTATTTCGAAAACATGCATCCTCCCAAATACTAAGTAATTGTTAAATATTACTATTAAAAAAATTATAAATGGTGGTTATCTTTTTGTCAGTGTATTCATATCAATTCATATATTCATTGCATAAAGAAAATGGCACAGTTTTATGCAAATGGAATAAAAATAATTTATGCATATTTGGTTTTTTCATTCCATTGATGATGAGGAGTTATATGAATTGGGCTTGTCATTTTACACAACTCACTAATATGGCTAAAGAGAAAAGGAAGTCATGAATGGTGACAATTCATATTTTATACTTAATTTTCCTAGTCAAGACAATCAATATACTCATGTTCTAGAAAAAAAATACACAATGATGTAGACTCTTGGTTTAAAGGACAAAAATACCCAGCAACTTTTTCTCTAAGAGCACTCAATATCCTTAAGTGAATAAAAGTATATACATGATTACCCATAAACTTGTTTTAACGAGTGCAACAATCTCTATTCTATTAAATTTTCCTGACATCCACTGACACTGACTGTTAAAAAACAAAGGCCAACATAAGGTGTAAAAATATGCAGAAACTTTTTCTTTGAGAGCTTCTTGTATCCTCAAGTCAATAATGATACATGGGTACTCATTAACTTTATGAAAGAGGCTATATAACCAAGCGCAACCCTAACACCTCAAGCTTTTGGCTTATTCAAGTTGGCCTAAATACCTAAATTGTTAAATATTATTTTTTTTTATTTTTTATTCAATTTCAATTTTTATCTTAAAGAATTAAGATTTTCAAATTTTATCTAATTTCAATTTTATTTTATTAATAACAAGAAAAAAAAGAATTCAAGTATTCAAGTTAAGTCTATTCTAGTTCAAGCTTGGCCCAAATTAGTGATCATCAAGTTATATTAATGGACTGGGGAAGGTTAGAGCTAGTAATTTGGATCAAACTCTATGTACATGCTAGCTTGAATAAGCTCAAAAAAACTTATGGATTCTTTTTTGTTAGAATAATTTAACTATGATGGCACACGTTAGTCTCTAACAATTCTTAGAATACATTTGATTTTATAATCAAAGAATGCTGTATTTCCAAGTCAAGTAAACTCATATGTCCTTGGCATAGAGGAAGTGGGGCAATAATATGTGGTCTTGGTATCTTCTCCAACAAGTTGATAAGTGCAAAAATATCTTCTCCAACATTGTAAATGCGGGTAAAGAATTTCTTCTACTCTTCATCATTACATTCATGTAATGTTAATTAACCTAATTCCAATCACTTTCCCTAGCAACACCATAGCTAAGCCCATTTATTGGTTTGTTGAATCAAAGGCTCTCTCATAATAACAAATGAAATGGTATGTGTTTCATAAGTTGGATTATTTGATCAAAATAATAAGGTGAGATTTGTAAGTTGTAAAATCACTTTATGTATGGAAAACAATGGGAAAGAAATAATTTTGTTTGTGCGATAAAATAAAAAATAGACCAGAAAAACATAAAAACATATAAAAACCAATATTTAAAGTAAAAGAAAAGAAAATTATATTTAACTTCTTATTATTATAAATACCTAAGAAAATTCATAGCAGTTTTGACAATTCAATTTGTAACTCTCCTATTATATATATATATATATATCCCTTTCTTGTGGCTATGATGGAAAGGCATGGAACATAATATGGTAAAAAGATACCTTGAGCAATTCCATCTTCAAGAAATAGACTACCAAAGGTCCTTCAAGTGATTAGAATTTAAAAGTAAGATTATCTAAATACCTTTGGCTTTAAAATTAATTTGAAAGGTAGGTTGCAAATTATTTTTCAACAAGTTACACTTTGCAAGAAAAATCCTCATGTTGACAGCGTATTTGAACTTATATTCTTATGGAAAATGGAACAACTCCTTATTAATTGGATCATCTTAACTCGATCGCTTATTAGAGGCTAATAGAATTGATGTTCATGGTGTTGGCTAATTTTGATTTTTTTTTTATGTTCTTCTGTTGTTTGTTTCGGGCTGACTCTGTTGGGACTTGTGTTTATGGTCCATCAATGTGAATGGTTATTTCTTTGGCAAAAAAAAAAATGAGAGCCACCATGTTATTTTTCAAAATTTTATATTATAACTACAAACCATCAAAGCCCTTTCCCTGTTGTCCGTCTTTGGTCATTCATCAATTCTTTTACTACAATTGCTTTCTTTCGTTAATAATCTAAATATGCATTTATTTTGAGTCTATATAGTAAAAAAAACATTAAGGTTTTTAAATGCTATAAGTCGTGAGTGATCATGACATTTTATAAAAAAGACCATGAAATCCCTCCTCCAAATGTCCTACAAATTTTTAAAAAAAGACCATAATGTTTTTTCTTTTTAGATAAGTTCGCATAAAGAAATACAAATTTTATTAAAAAAAAAAGACCATAATGTTTGTCTTATTTTTCTATGCGGATGCATAATTTCAAAGTCTAGTCAATTCATATGCGTAGAGAAAATGGCACAATAATAGTGGAGGAATAAAAAGAATTTATATATATTTAAGTCATTCCATTCTAAACATTAAGGTCGCGTAGAAAAAATTACATAATAGTAGAAGTCTTCCCATTACAAGGAAAAAAAAAAGCTATTAATCATGATAGTCCATCTTTTAAGTCGGTGTCCACATTTTTCTTTGGTCAAGCCAACTCAAGTAGGTACTCATATCTTAGAAAAAAATGACACAATAATGAAGAATCTGGTTTTGGTCATCTAAAGCAATAGATTTCATGTTAGAAATTGAATAGTTGGTATATTATTTTTTGTCGAGTTCAAATATTTAAAATATGATTTTATAAATTGAGTAAAGTAAGTGTTATTTAAAAAGTAACCATAGCTGAAATAATAATAATAATAATAATAATCATTAATTATTATTATTATTATTATTTCAAATTATAATGCATGTGTGCATTTATTTAGCAGTGTGAACACTTTATTCTATTCTTACCATCTAAGCTATCCTAGGATGATTAATTTGTCGTATCACGTCTCATATGATAGTAAAGATGTTTACTTAATTCCTTTGATATTTCTATTTGTTTAACATGTTGGCTTTTGGAAGCAATTTTTAACCACCAATGCTTATGAGTTATGATTGTACCCCAACAAGTTAATAAATACGCCAATATAATTAATACTCCCTCATGTTCCTATTATAGGGCACCTTTAAAAAAGAATTATTTGGTCCTTAATATAAGGATAATGGAGTGTTGTTTATTATTATTTTTCAATTTTACCCATGTTATAAATTTAATTTTATGGTTCATCGTATATTGTATATTTCTCTCTTCCTATTTTCAATAGGAGTAATTTTGATTTTTTTTTCATTTTAAGAGTTATTTAATGAGTTAATTATTATTCTTTGGTTCCAATCAAGTGGTTTAAAACATCTTATAATAAGGACCGTATGGAACATATATTGTCAAGCTTGCACAAGGCTATAATTTGTATGGGGATTATTTAATTTTTTTACTGTGTCTAATAAATCTAACTGTTATTTTTTGAATTATTTTTTGGGATACTTAAATATTGTTTTATATAAGGTTGATAGTTAAATCAATTTTTTGAAAATCTTTTTAAGCTTGGTAATTTTTTGGGGCGTAGACTTTTTATTGTAATATTAGTGTGTGTGTGTGTGTGTTGTGTAAACTAAAGGAAAAATTAATCTTTTAGTCCTCCAACTTTTAAGTCACTTGTAACTCAGTCCCTCAACTATGACTTGCCTATGACTGAGTCCCTCAACTTTTGAATTACTTGCAAATTAGTCCCTTAACTTTTGTTAATTTTTTTTTCATATTAGTTTATATCTTACATCAATGAGCAAGAGGAGGTATTTTAAAATAATATATGAGCATTTTTTTATCCCTCTTATTTGAAAAGAAATTTTTTAAAAAAAAAAAAAAAAAGGATCGAGTTATAGGTAAATCAAAAGTTGAGGGACTAAGTTGTAGTGAGTTATAGTTGAGGGATTGAGTTGCAGCGAGTCATAGTTGAGGTACTGAGTTACAAGTGAGTTAAAAGTTGAAGGATTAGAAGATTAATTTTCCCTAAAATAAAATAAAAACCTCTCTTCCATTGATATCTCCCTATCAAATTCAATTTTTATTTCCAGTATCAAATGGTCCTTATTTCCAACAAATTGAGCCAATACGGTCTCATTTCCAAATTTCCCTGCAGGCCCCATCATCCCAAGATTATGACTAGTGCTGGCTGCTGGTTAATACGAAGGTAGACAATATCACCTGAGTTGAGAAATTTCAGCTCCATAGTTTTAAGTGCTTATATAACCATCAATCCTCTTTAAAAGGTGTGCTTATGAATTTCTAAGTGCATATATATAGTACAACCTTCTCATCCCAACCACTTCATCAATCTAAGAAGCCTTGAACCTATCCAACATGGCAAATCTTTGTTTTCATTTCCCCTTCCTCATGTTCTCCCTACTTTATCTCAAGGTTTGTTTCACTTTATTCCACACCAATCTTACTACGAATGATGAATTGGCACTACTTGCTTTGAAGTTTTCTGTCAAGGACCCTTACAATCACTTGGCTAATTGGTCCAACTCTTCTTCCATTTGCAATTGGGTTGGGGTTATGTGTGATGCTCATCATGAGAGAGTAATAGCCTTGAATCTTGGTGAGATGGGTCTCAAGGGAACTTTGCCCTCAAAAATTTGGAATTTGTCTTTCCTAGTTGAACTTGACCTTCATAGTAACAACCTTTATGGTGAGTTGCCAAAAGAGTTGGTCCAGTTACACAAGCTGCAAATTCTCAACTTGAGCTACAATGAATTCAATGGAGAAATTCCAATTTGGATTGGAATCTTGTTTACCCTTCAACACTTCCATCTCGGTAATAATAGTTTTGGAGGTGTTATTCCTAGAAGCATAACAAACTTGTCAAAGTTAGAGACTTTGGATTGGAATTATAACTTTATTGAAGGAGTTATTCCATTTGAGATTGGAAAACTTCAAAATTTGAAGATTTTACGGATTGCAGGAAACAAGCTTTCAGGAAGAATAACTCCAACTATTTCTAACTTATCCTCACTTGAGTTGCTGTCTTTGTCTTTCAACTCCTTAACAGGTATGTCTTGCATAATGTGCATAATGTGTTATTAGCATTTCTTCTATTTTACAATGATACAAATTTATTTTCTGTTTGTAAATCCTTTTGCTTAATTTTAATGTAGATTTCTGTGTGTCTTAAGGTAATAAGCCTTATTATCAAGCTCTGTTTATCTTCTTTGACGTTGATTTTTCACTTACGTTGGTCAAAATAAATTCATCTTCAAACTTCTGTTAATTATCATTTTACATACCCCTCCTAACTATACAAGTATTCAAATTATCAAAGTTAGCACATTTTGTGCATTTCATGAAATCAGCTTTGCATAAATATACTTCCCTATATATTCAAATTAATTAATTAACTTCCCCAAATCAAATTAATACGTTTGATAATTTTTTTGCTGTTATTTTTAATGATTTATTGGTGATAATAAAATGTTATTTGAGAAAGATAAATTGATCAAATGTTTTTTGAAATCCTCTTTTAGCCAGCTAGACAATTTTTTTGTTTGCATTATATGTTTTATAGAATTCCTTCGGTTGTTACGTTATAAATTATAATTGTATAATATAAATATATTTTTCTAACATTAAAAGCTTGTGTCAGAAATTTACATATGCTTGATAGTCTTTTGTTTGTTTCCAAATCCAATTTCATGAAGTAAATTATAAGAAATAACCATTGGATAATGATTTTCATTGTAAAAACGTTATTAAAAAGTTTAGATCATCATGATGAAGGGAAAATCTTAAGTTGATTTCTATGACTTTTCCCAGTGCTATAAACTACATTTCTGTTTTATAATTGAGTATTAAATTGGTATGATATAAACTTGCCTATTCATGTAAAAAAAAAAAAAAAGAAGTCTGAAACAACTCAAACTACCAGTTTACTCTCAATATCTAATTATTTCACATGTTATAATAACATTTGATTTTCTCTTGTTTTTTATCATGATAAAATGACTGTTCCTGTTCTCTAATTTGAGTTTTCTATAGTCTAATTGTGTGTGTGTGTGTGGCATGGAACCAATATATATATATATATATATTAAGGTCCCTATGCTCTTAAAATATAGTTGTATGGGGCTATAGTTGTTTAAATATATGCAAATCACTATTCAAATAATGAAACAATGTTGTCTCACTATTTCTCTTCATTTGGGTGCTGTAAGTGTTTCTAATAGCCTTATTTAATCATAATATGGTGAAAAATATCTTACTTTGTTAATAAAATTGGCCCTACCATGCATGCTGCAAAGACTTGGACAAAACCCTTCACATATGGGCATTTGATTGGCCACACTAAACAGAGTTCAAATTAATGGATATATATCAAGATACATGAATTTCCTTTTTCCTTTTTTTTCCCATTGGGTTCAAAAGCTTTATCTTCTTTGTTGCTTATGTTTCTTTTATTATGATCTATTTATTATACATGGACTCTAACAAAAATGTGGTTCTTATTACCATATTGTAGGAGATATTCCCAAGACAATCAGTGCTCTTACAAATTTGAAAATTATATACCTGAGTTTTAATATGTTGTCTGGCCTTATACCAAGGAGCATTGGAAACTTGACAAAACTTCAACTCCTAGAGCTTGATCACAATAACTTTGAAGGTATCATTTCAACTAATCATAATGTGCGACGTTCAATCAATTTTGTGTTATTTTTGTGCCTTTAGGTGAGCTACAACATATTTATAATGTTAAATGAGTCTATTCTAGTTGACATTGAAGGATTAATTTATTTCAAAAGACAATAGTCAAATTTGGTTTCATTTTTCCTTCTCCATGTTCTCACTGCTTAGTTGTCTCACCGTCTGCCTAACTTTATGTTGCACCAATTTCATAAAAAATGATTAATAATTGGCACTTCTTGCTTTCAAATTTTCTGTAAGAGACCCATTCAATCACTTAGCTAATTGGTCCAACTCTTTCTCCATTTGTAATTGGATTGGGTTTTCTTGTGATGATAACAGTGAGAGTGTAAGTGTATTGAATCTTGCTAACGTGAGTCTCATCGGCAACTTACCCTCACAAGGGTGGGAAATTTGTCGTCCTTTTGTGTGATTCCTCATTAATCCTTATACTATCAAATTTGAGAGTTATACTTAAAAACTTACATAAAAAAAGTTCCTTAAGCTGACCTTTGAGCTTGAGCGTCATATATATATATATATATATTACTGCAATTCACTCAGCATCCATCAAACATGTTATTTTCACTGTTCTATACCAAAAAACACCTTCCTTTGTCAAAGTATCCTTTTGTCCTTTTCCATGTCATTTTAATATCTGCATTAATTTAAATATTATTATTTACAAATCTTCACATATAATTTAGAAATAATTTCTTAATTAATGATTAATTTATGTGTTGGAAACAAAAACATGAGAGAACGACAATAAAGTCCCAATAGATTAAATTAATGACAATTGACTCCTCACAAATTTTTTTGAAAAATTAGTTGTAAATATTGATTCAAACAATTGCAAATAGAAATTCTTGATGCAAACTGAGAGTTATATTCAGAAATTAAATGTCTTATTTATAGTTGGAACATTGAATTTGCAATGGTTTGAATGGATATTTACATTTATTTTTCAAAAGTTTTATCGGAAATCTAACTATTATTAATTTGTTCTTGATGCAAACTGAGAGTTATATTCAGAAATTAAATGTCTTATTTATAGTTGGAACATTGAATTTGCAAAGATTTGAATGGATATTTACATTTATTTTTCAAAAGTTTTATCAGAAATCTAACTATCATTAATTTTATTGGAAATCTAACTATCAAATAGAAATTCTTGATGCAAACTGAGAGTTATAGTCAGAAATTAAATGTCTTATTTATAGTTGGAACATTGAATTTGCAATGATTTGAATGGATATTTACATTTATTTTTCAAAAGTTTTATCGGAAATCTAACTATCATTAATTTGTTCTTTAAGGACTTAACTATCATTCTCAAAAAAAAAATGCTGAAAATACATATATAGGTACACTCAACTTCAGGGAGTCTTTTCTAAAAATGTGAACTATAGAGACCTATTTCAACACTTTTATGCTTCAACACTTCCATCTCCATAATAATAGTTTTGGAGGTGTAATTCCTAAAAGCATATCGAAATTATCAAAGTTAGAGACTTTGAACTGGAATAATAACATTATTGAAGGATTCATTCCATTTGAGATTGGAAAACTTCAATGTTTGAAGATTTTATGGACTGTAGTAAACAAGCTTTTAGGAAGAATACCTCCAACTATTTCTAACTTATCCTCACTTGAGTTGTTATCTTTGGCTTACAACTTCTTAACAAGTATTATGTCTTGCATAATGTGTTATTAGCATTTCTTCTAGTTTACAATGATATAAATTTATTTTCTATTTGGAAATCCTTTTGCTTAATTAAGAAATTTGCATATTCTTGTTATAGGACATGTCTTAAGCATTCTTTTGTTTGTTTCCAAATCCAATTTTATGAAGAAAATCATAAGAAATAACAATCGAATAATGATTCTGATTGTGAAATAGTTATTAAAATTTTTACATCACCATGAAGGAAAATCTTCCAATGACTTCTATGAGCTTTTCCCTGTTCTATAAGCTATATTAAAGTATATAATTGTGTACTAAATAGGTATGATTATAAACTTGTGTATTCATGTAAGGGGACAAAAAAGGATCTCATACAACTCAAACTATCAATTTGACTGTCAACATCTCATTATTTTCATGTTTAAAATTATAGATTTTCTCTTTTTTTATTAATATAATGTCTATTTTTGAGCACTCATTTGAGCATTCTATAGTTTGATTTCTTTTGTATGATATGGAGCTATAATATATTGGATTAAAGGTCATTTTTGTCTCTGAACTATACACAAAAGATCCCAAATTGCCTCGAAACTCAACTGTGGATCAATTTTATCCTTCAGCTCTGAAGATTCCTTCCGCCATCACCCTGTCATTTTTTCATCATTAGTTGACCATTAGTGGGTCTCACATTATATTTTTTTATTATAAAATATTTGAATTAAGGGGCAAAAATGACAGTTAGAATAGAAGTTGAAGGGCAAAAAGTGACCCTTAATCTAAAAAAAAAATAGTGGGACCCATTAATGACTGATGCACTTAAGTGTTTTTAATGTTAAGGTGATAATGGAGGGAATCTTTAAAGTTGAGGACAAAATTGACCTATAGTTAGGTTTAGGGGTATTTGTGACCTCTCGTGTATAATTCAAGGATGATAATGACTTTAATCCTAATATATTTTAAAGTTCCTATCTCTTAAAAATAATTATATAGGGCACCAGTTGTTGAACCATATGCATATAACTAACTATTCAAATAATGAAATAATATTATCTCACTATTTCTCTCAATTTGTGTACTGTAAGGGTTTTGACTAATTTTGTTCATCTCAATTAATCTACTATAGCCTTATTTAATCATAGTATATATGATGAAAAACACCTTACTTTCTTAATATATTTGGCCCTATTATATTGCAAAGATTTGGACAAAAACCCTTCACGTATGATTTGATTGGTCTAACAGAGTTCAAATTAACGGACACGTATTAAGATACCACAATTTCCTATTTCCTTTTTATTTCCCATTGGGTGCAAGAGCTTTGTCTTCTTTGTTGCTTATTTTTCTTTTATTATGATCTTTTTACTATACATGGACTCTGAAAAAAAAAATGAGTCCATTTTAGCAGATAATTGCAGGATTAGTTTATTCCAAAAGACAATAGTCAAACTAATAAAAGTATCATAGTTCTATAAAAAATTGTTTATTACCATATAATATCAACTATTTTTTTGAATTTTCAAAGTTGGTCTCTTTATGGTCATACTTTACAGTCTAATAGCATATCTTCATTTTATTTTTCAATGACCAAATCCCAGTAGATATTCTCAATATAATTAGTGATTTGGCAAATTTGAACATAATATTAAGTGTTAATCAGATTTGTAATTGCATACCAAAAGCGATTG